TTGTCTTTCCATTGCATGCAGAAAAAAAAATAATCATGCAGGGTGGTGTGATGGAAGGCATGAGCGGGGAGGGTTCTGGAATGGAGCTCAAGGTTGCCAGGTGGGGGGAGAGACCTCCTCAGTCCCCAGCTGGAGTGTGGGAAAGCCAAGAGAATGAGACTGACCCCTCCCTAGGGGCCTCATGGTTATAGTTACTGTTGTGGTATAGATTTAGTCTGGCGAGATTCTGTCAGGTGTAAACTAATAAAGGAGCTAAACTGTTCTGGACTGTCTCACTGTTATTCTTGGGCTGAACCTGACAGGTGGAGAGGGAAAAACAAGAATGGAAAAGGTTACTACATAAGAAAGGAAAGAGAAGTGAGAGAAGATTTGTTTAGACATTATAAAAAAAGAATAAAATTCACCAGATGAGTATCCCCTGCCAAATTATTGATGACTGCTAATCATAGCTTTCAGCAGCTATGTCTGCAGCTATCTGTACCTTCTGCCAATACCCTCATTTTCAAGAACACCTGTTTTCAGCTAATGTAAATCCTTTGCTCCTCTAATTCCTAGGCAGTTATTTGGAGAAAATAATTAATCTTCCTGCTGTGAAAACTAGGTATTGATTACTGTGATAATGTATAAAAACTAATTTGAACATTCGACTGGCACTATAAATGCACATTGATTGACTGATTATGTGCCATCAAGTTTATGTTGAACTTAACGATCAGTCACGTTTTCTCCATGACGTTCTGTCCCTAACTTGGTCATTCTGGTCTTCCAACTGTACACTCATCGCCACTGTAACTGGGTCTATCCACCTTGCTGCTGGTCTTTTTCTTCTCTTTCCTTTCATCTTTCCCAGCATTAGAGCCTTCTCCATAGGGTCTGAAATAGGATAATGTGAGCTTGGTCATTTGTGCTTCAATATTATATTATATATTCATGTGGTTTTCTTTGTAAAAATATAAGAGTAGTTTACCATTGGCTTCTCCTGTGCAGTATGAATTGATACCTTTGCCACTGTGACTAAAGTGATCATCCTTCCTATATTGCTGCTGCCCAATATATGTGCCTGCTTGCTTTAGCTGGGCAGCTGGGAAGACCACAACTTGGGTGACCCTGCTGGGAATATATATTCTTGGCATACATTCTCAGTGTTCTTTGCTCATCCCTCCCAGGAACACCCCCAGCAGAACTTCTGGGGGGATAAGTGCACATAGTAATATTTTAAAATATATATCAAATGTATGTTTTCATTTAGTATACTTTTGTCAACATGCATTAATATCTAGAATGGCCTGAAATTTACTTTGTAGAGCAGAAACTACAGGAGCTTGCTGAACAAAGAAGAAAACTGACTGCAGAATTAAATGCAATTGAGGAAAATATAGAAAAAGTACACCACTATGCCTCAGTAGAACATCTTCAACCCATAGGTACATAATGAATTAAAGAAATATAGTTTTTACCTAATGTGTCTATTTTTCAGTTGTAAGCCCAATTGTGGTCATCATAATTGTGACCATTGGGGTGGAGGAGAGAAGCATGAACCAAGCATCTTTCCATCAAGCTGCCATGGTGTCAGCTCTTTGGGGTAGGTCAAACCAGGAAACTGAGTCCGTAAGTTTGACTGGAACTATATTTATCAATATAGACTACAGTAGCAGAATATTGAAAGCCTGATTCTGTTTCTCCGCTCCCCCTTATACCCCAGAGAATTAGAGTGGAGCCAGTCTGAGTTTCTTAATGTTTTGTTTCCAAAAAAATAAGAACAATACAAATTTTGAAAGAGAAAAGTAAAGTAAATAGTAAGTAAAAAAGTACAAAAAGAGAAAAAAGAGAAAGAAAAGAAAACAGAAAAGAAAAAAAAAGAAAAGAAAAGGTTTCTGGTCTTCTTAACAGCAGTTACAAGTACATTTATATTTTACCCTCTCTCTCTAAGGTTACAACATATTTTCCTTCTTTCCATAGTTTACCCTTTCTAATCATCAAACCCATAAATCACAAGTTCATTTTTTTCTTTTTTCAGCAAAAAGTCCATAAGGGGTTTCCAGTCACTAATAAATGTAATTATTGTCCTTTCTCTAATCAGACAAGTCATTTTTGTCATTTCTGCTAATCCTGTTGTCTTCACCATCCATTTCTCCATTATGGGTATTTCAGAATCTTTCCATTTTTGTGCATATAATAATCTCACAGCAGTTATAGTATATAAAGAACTTATATATCTTTCATAACTCTTTTCTAATTGTCTATCCATTAGCTCTAACAAGAAGAGTTCTGGTTTCAGTGGAGTATTAATCTTTACAATTCTTTCTATCACTGTATCATAGTTCAGTTTTAAACTCTATCTTGTGCTGTTCAATTCCAAATGTTCTGTTATCTACCTTAAATCTTTTTCTTAACTGTGTGTACAAAAACTATCTCTCGTTGCCTGTTGTTTCTTTTCTATTAAATGCTTCTTGTGCTACAACCCATGAAGCCATTGCTGGGCACAGTCTGGGTTTATATCTATTCCATATTCTCAATATGGCACTTCTAATATAGTGATTTTTAAAAGCTACATTAACCTTAACTTTATCGTACCATAGAAAGCCATGCCATGCAAACATCAGGTTGTGCCCTTCTACTTCTAAAATTCTCTTGTTCTCAGCAGCGCCCACTCCTTCATCCAAACTAAGCAGCAGGCTGCAAAATACAATTTCAAATCAGTCAGTCCCAATCCTCTTCATTCTTTTGCATCTTGGAGGATTTTATGGCTTTTTCCCTTACTATACAAACCTAGATATATCTTTCTGCCATTGCTTAAATGGTACATCAGTTGTCAAAATAGG